CCGACGTTTTGAACCGGAAGAATCATTTTCGTAACCCGCATAAGGACGATTAATCTTCTAGGAAATCAAGAAGGCGTAACGCCTTCCTAGACTTATATTAGTAGCCGTATACAAAAACTAATAATCACGTATATATTTATAACCATCGTGAATAATTCATTAACATTACTATTATTGTTAACTCTTTATTCCTCGAATAAATAATATGTGAAAGTTGCATTTCTGAATAGAATTTAAAATTCACTTCTGTATATTCATATCTGTTTTATGTTCAAAGGCGTCCAAAAGAAAGAGCATTAGCGTTTTTATACGAACGCAACAGTTCTTTAATACTATATGCGTCTCTAACGCGACAAAAAACAGTAAAGAAAACCCTTGTTTCAACTCTCTTCGAGATCTTTAAGTAGATCTTTTTAGATTTTGTTTATTTACGAAGCAAGTTAAGTTTGTCTATCTATATAGGATAATCGTATGAATTCTTCTCTCAAAAGTCAAAAATTTCCAAACAAATGAAGATACAATAGGTATCTTCGAATGAATTTACCAAATTCGCGATGAACGTAATGCGTTTAAAAAACAAATAATATTGAAGTTATTTCAATAAAATCCATTTAATTTTCATGAAATTACTTGACGTTTGCCAATGTAACAATGACATTTCACGTCGCGCCGACCCAGTAATGGCTTTATTTTATTTGACAAACGTGCAGGAGCGAGATAAAACGTACAGTCGGGAAGAGAGAGAGAAAGACCACCCACAAGCATCCATAAATTACATCGGCAATTCGTAACAATTACGTATCTCTCTCTCTCTCTCTCTCTCCCGTAATTCTATTATTTATACCCAGAGAGAGGACTATCGCACGAGGCCTGATTCGATGGAGGGTCGCGAGATATCGATCTGTCTTTTCTCGCCCGCTGAAGCACGCTGCGACAACGTTGCAAAACGCACGTGCGTGTAACCGCATTGACATCTACGAAAGGGATCCTTTATAGGGACAGCTGAGCCAAGTTAGACGAGGGGAATGTATCCGTTCGCCAACTGTAATATCGTAGACAAATAGATGCACCGCCTTGTACAAGATAGGCATCGAGATAAATGATATTCGAATCCCGTCAATGAATCGTGAGATAAATGTCACGTGGCTTCGAGATAAGAGCGGCGTGAGCTATTAATTGAAATGCCATTAAATAAGAGTGTTACTGTATATTATCGACGATAAGGGGCAAACGGTAAAAGAGGGTGCAATATATAAATATTATCAACTTTCTTTTTTTTTTTTAATTTTATGCTTCGCGAATGCAAAGATATGTTAAGTTATGTATACATCAAAAGTTAATTATCATCTTATATATTGACTCGTGTCATTAACATCTTTTTATATTTTTCTTGATTAGTCTATATTTACTTATTTTCAATAGCCAATCTTTTACAAATTAAAAGCATGTTTTTAAAGTGATTATTAAGATGCATGAATGAAAAGAGATGTAGATGAAACCAATAATAATTTCAAGAGTTCTCCAGAGTGCTCGTATATCAATTAGACTGTGCGTTCGCGTATTCACTTCATTTACGTATAAATAAATCGATGGTGCAACGCGGAAAGAGATTCGTTTGATTAAATAAACTGCGGGTCTCTCGATGAAAAATAATATTAAAAGCACCGATAAAGTGAAACCCGTCATTTCCGTTACTGCAGCAAAATAGTCGTTTCATTCATCGAACTAAAGAACAAATATTTATCCTTTTGTGATTACTGTTTTTATTTTGAACATTTATTTAATCGTTCTCACTCTCGTGAGAAACGTAGCCCAAAGGAATCCAAGAATATATATGCGTTGTTGTATAAATTTCATCGTTAGCTTTCGAAATTATGTAACGATAATTATTGAAAAACAATTATAGATATATGTTTTAAGAAACTTAATAACACATGTGTTTCTTTAATTAAAATTTTATTACTCAATTAAGACATCGAAGAAACTTGCTGCTTTTCGAAAATCTTTTTTCGCGTGGAAAAAAATGTATTAAATTCGAACAAGTATTTATTTCAATACTGCGAAATATAAATCATTTATTCGAAACTATATAATAATATTGATTTGATGCGAAAAATATTTATTTGTTATAAGAAAATCCTTTTCAGAACAAATAAATATTTATTTGCTTCAAATAAATGATTTGTTAGGCAGTATTGAAATAAATATTTATAAATTTAATAATTTTTTTCATTGGAGATTAAAATAAAATCTATATTTCCTCTGATATATTAAATATATATCGCTTAATTTGATCAACGACTATTATCGCATACGCGATTTACAATGCTGTTCCGGGTAATTACTTGCACAGGGCATCGAGCCTGAAGCAAGCCGGTCGGCGAAAAGTCCCAAGTGCTATGTGGCGCGCATTTGCGCGGGTGCGCTCGTCGTTCGGGTGAAACGAGAGGAGGGTTAAACCGGGTTCGGTACCGAGATATCCAGAGCGAGGGAGAGCGAAACGGCAACGAGAGTCTCGAAATAGAGAGGCTGCGAACCGAAGCGCCAAGGCCTAGAGAAAATTACGCGCACCAGTAAAACCTACGCGCGGGACTCCGCTCGAGCGCGGTTTTCGTAACGACATGAAATTTGAACGGAAGCGATATGGAAGCGTGCATTTTATTTATAGGAAGTTTACGCCAGCGGAAACGAATATGCGAAACGAAACGCGCGAGGGACAGCGCGAAAATTCGCGTTTCTCGGGCTTGAGACGAGCTGCTTGCGTGACGCAAATGCGCCTAGCAATTCATCTAATGAGCCTAAATTCCGGTGACTAATAGTGGTAACGGCGACGGAGAATAATAGCGACAATAATAATAGTTCGGATAATAAAGCATATGCTAAGTTTGGACGTGCGTTATATAGTATGCTCTGTCCATAAACTCGGAAAATAGAAATTAAGGAGTAAATAAAAATGGAGTAAACGTCAAGTCTAATTTCAGCGGAGGCTGTAGAATATTTTCGAGTTGCAGGAACACACGCGTGACAAACAGGCATTCGTGGTTCGCCAGAGGATATGATGGCGCGCTTGAATAAATAAATAGAGATCCTAGTAAAAATACTCGAGTCTTTTTAGATTAAGATAATTCTTTCGATTGTATAGAGAAAAGTAAACAAAATATAGTTACGAAAGATACCACTTTAAAAATGTATACTCATCCCGATCTGTCTATCCAAGAATTTTGTTTACGAAAAGTTCAAGAGAGACAGAGAGAGTAGACATAAAATCTAATCTCTTTCAACCAACGGAAAATATATTTATAAAGACCGCGGAATGTCAATTCTCCGTCTATCTGAGAATTTTGTTTTCGAGAGTCGCACGGAGCAAAACATTAAGCCTGATCCTTGCAGCGGAGGATCCCGGAATACTTTCTTGTTACAGAAGCAAAACAGGACGTGTGACAGGCAGGAAATCGTGGCACGCGTTGGAAACTGTCCGTGGACACAATGGCGCCCCTGGACAAACAAGCATACAACTCGATGCATCCGTCTGTCGCGGGGCTTCGAGAAACACCGTCTGTCCCTTTTCAAACTGCATTCCTGACCCTCGCTTCGTTCCGGAACCCAACAGCGTTCGCGCTCCACCCTCCATTCGCTCTCTGCAGCTTCTCTGCGTTTTCGATCCCTCGACGCATCAAGGCCCGACATATCGCGTAATCGTCCATACGATGATACGCCAGAAACTCACCCCTCTATGCGCGTTTATTCCAGCGCATATATTCCGACCGAACTACGGCGTTGCCTTTCCGAGGCGGAAAGATCGAACGGAGACGCGTGGCCGAACGCACACGCGATATTCGAAATAATATAGATGTATATAGAGGTATATGTGTGGGTATGTATAGCGTGTACGAGAATGGGGCGATTGTAACTGGTACAATTTCGGCGCGGTTCAATTTGCAATATGCATGGCCTACGGAAGTCACAGAGAAACAAACATGAGCTTTAGCTCTCGCCGCTACCTAGCTACTGTTGCGAATAAACATGAAGATCGTTTTCCATTGCCTCAAGCGTTCGGAAATATAAATTTCGCGGGATTATATAAAAATGGATATTTAATTTAGAATAATTCACAATGCAGTTCGTAATACATTTGGCTGTGCAATATATTGTACATGATTGTAATTTTATTCTCTCGTGTCCAGGAAACAATAAAATTTTGTGTGATTTTAAATTATATTCAATTATAATATTTATAACGCCTATATTTATATATTTTATAAAAAACAGATTTTCTCTGAAATATGATTTATTTTAAGAAACAATAATGTTATTCGCGGTCTTTGCGTGTGAAAATAAGCAGAACTATGAGACTTATGATAATAAACATAACTTTAAGTAATTCATAATTTGCAACTAAATCTGTAAAAAAAATTCCAAAAATAAATACTTGAGCAATATATCACACAATAAATAAAATTATAAATATATAGAATTCTATTTTATTCAATCGCAAATGATTCAAAAATATATAGCATTATGTATACATAAAAGTATAGATAGAGAATTCTTGTCTCATAATCTGTTGCATGTAAATTATATAAATGATATCTCAAATAAACTCGTACTGTAACTGAGAATTCAACAGTCTAGTTAAACATTTAATACTCTTTACTAAATCTAATAAGACAACTTTTTACAATCCTATCAAACAAGAGTACATGTTTCATTTTATATCCCCATTTTACAAACGGCATTACTCATTGCAGCATTTGCATGCATTACTCGGACTCTTATTTAGCATTACTCCCGCGTTCAACACAACCGCGCTTATTCAACGTAGCGGACACGCGCGTGTTGTGTGTATCCGCTCGTGGGTGTGGGCGGCGCGCGTGTAGGTGCGTGCCCGCGTTTCGAACGTGAGTGCGTAAACTGTGCGCGAGTGCGTGTGCCGCGCGAGAAGGGCGAGGGTGTCTCTGGTAGGGGAAACTAAACGCGTGTCTTTGGTTTTGGTTTTAGTTTCGTGGCAGTCGCTGCCGACGACGACGACCGGCATACGATCACGATCACGACGACGACGACGACGACGACGTCGATCCTCTCGAACGGTGTCGATATCTCGCGATAAATGCGCGACCGGTGTCTTATTTTATCACATCGTTCCCCGACGACCGAAATCGCGCGAAGGAGTGAATAAATATGTCCTGCGACTCGCAGGTGTATAGCGACTCTGCAGATGCGCGGCTGAAAGTCGACTAAATCCAAGAGTACATCAGTGTCTCCGGTGTCGCCGACTGCATCCCTATATATCCTTTAGGATTACCCCGTGGGATAAAGATTCATTTGTCTCGCGGTGCCGCATGTGTCCCGTTTTCGAGACACTTGAATAAAATTTATGCAGTTCGGTTCGGTGTGTAGCTGTGGAATTTAAATCTCTTTCGCGACTACCAAGTGGTACCGGAAGACCTACCAGAAACGCACTTTTTTTAAACAAATATTGTTATGTTTTTCGCAAATGTTTGATTGTGCAGCTTTCATATCATCTAATACAATATTATTTCATCAAAAGATTAAATTATCGATCAACTTTAAACTCGGAACTCCCAAGAACTTTCATCCTTAAGCTTCATTTAAATCTCTGTTTAGTTTGAAAAAGATTATCGATAATCGTCGGCCGCAGTTCTCGAAGGATACTTTAATTTCTTATAAATCATATCACATTAAGTCGAAATAAAAATATACTTAAATCCCTATTATCTACTAATAAAATTGCCTATAATAAAGAAATACGAAAGTGACGCGCAAAGTGCCACCTGATCGCGCCTCTAATTAAATCGCGCGACGCGCAAAAGGAGGACCACCTACCGAGAATAACGTTAGGGTAGCGAGAGGAAGCGGAGGCAGAAAAAGTGGCGCGCAAAAGGCACGCGCTCAAGACGCAGGATCAAAGTTGAAATTCCTCGAGAGGGTGGCGAAGGAGGAGGAAGTCAAAGCGGACGAAGAGGACATCGACCAAGAACCGACAGCCGAGGCGAGAAAGTTTCGAGAGAGAAAAAGAGAGACAAAGGAAAAAAAAAACGCGGCTCGGTTGTGTTAAGCGGAGGATTTCGACGCGTCCGTTTTAATAACGAGCTAAAAGAAAAGGAAGGGCATGCGCGTGAAAAGACTCCGTCGAAGGACCTCCGTGAATTGTGTATCGCTGGCGTCTGTACTTTTCATAGAAAGATTCGAGTGAATAAGATCACACAATAAAGAATAAAAGTCCGCTCTTGAATAAATGAATAAATAATGTCATTGAAATACCGTTGAATGAAGATATATTCGCGAGAGATTGGGAATTTTAAGAAGGAACGAAGGAAATTAAACGTTCTCTCTACAAAAATTAAACATTCGAAACATTGTGAGACGAAACAGAAACTACAGAAACTTGTAATTGTTATTTTCATGTGGAAACGGTGATAAAAGAAAAAATAAGGATTTATCTTTGTGGAGATTTATTCGATCGTAGTGATCGTGAAGTGACTATAAATGACAAAACAATTAATTTTTATTAATATATGAACATTAACTATTAAATAACAATTAAAAAAGCTCTTTTTTATTAAAAATAAGGAGTATAAAAGACTTGTAAGAGCTGTGTGAGCCACAATCTTTACAATATATGAGATATGCTTACATAATTATAATGATGTCAAACTTGATGACAAAAATTTTTAAACGCACGTCTCCTTCACGATACTACAGTTAGAATACGACTGTAACGTTGGTTATTAAAATCTGTTATGCTGTTTACCTGCTTACTAATTTGTGACTTTGACATTAACTATTAACAAGTGCGCGACAAACAATTTAAACGCGATTTGGACAACGATCAAGTCGAAGTCGATCGCGAAAGACGTCGAGAATGCCACGACGATCGTTCGAGTGGTCGCGATCTATTAAGGAAGTGACGCGATCGAAATTATTCTGGAATCAATATCTGCCTCGCGAGAAGGATTGCCGTTGAGCCAACTGTGTTCATTTGAAAAAAAAAACTTAGTAAGATCGCAGCAATCGAAATCGAATGCTGCTCACCGCGATAAGAGAGTACGTTCGACGTATTGCGTGCGGCCATCGCGACTAAGCCTCGATTATCGATACAAGACGATATCGAGATGCGCTGCGCATTGGAATACGTATTTTTGACGAGTCTGCTGATGATGCTGAAGACTCGTCGAATGGGCGCAGCTGCAGAGGAGCCGTTGCCGGAATTTCAGAACAAAGGTACGAATCAAGGATCGAATTTCTTTATTTTAAAATACTAGAGAATTTTTGCTATACCATAAATATTTTTTATTATTAAATTTATTTCTGGATATTATGCTTTTGAATATATATTGTGTAAAAATATTAGAACACCTTATTCGTTTTCAAGTTTATTCTTCCCCCCAAAAAATTATACTAAATAACATGTGAAACAATAGGCTTGTGTTAAACAAGAGTGTCGATTGTACAAAAGTAGAACTTAATTAAGAGAAAATCGGCGATGTTTAAGATATTCTGTATATTTGCATCTATTTTCCATCGTCAATTTCTACCAACAGACATCTGAGCCCTTCTTGCCCGAAACTGTCAGAAGATTGACATCTAATTAGCAGGTCAAATCCGTCAACGAGACTATTAACGCGGTACTCCCTTGAAGTTCAACGTGCTCTTCAAGTTTACACTTGGTTATGTTTAGTTTACGTTTACATGCTGACCCATTAACTTTGTATCGACATCGTGTATGTTGAAGTAAAGTTTCATAAATTTCCCTCGAGATGCTAAAATGATTTTAGACTATATATATATATTCTGATATCGTAAAATATTTTATCTTTTTAAAAGGCGATATTATTATTTCATCAATAAATAGAAATTCTCAATATTTTTCTCATACAATTATTAACCGTGAATGATTAGAATAATTGTTAATAATAATAAACTTCATATATAAAATTTGTAAATTAGAAAGGTATGTCAAATAAGAAGGACTATCGCGGATTCTGGATTGTTGTGACGTAACTCGTGAAATTTCTTGACACTTTTGATCATCGACGCCCAACCGGAAGGATTTAAATAAACCCGCAGACCCGCATGTGACTTACTGACGTTTTAGCGTTCGTAAAATTCAATCAAGGCGTTTGTGCAGCTCAATCTCCAACGCATCACAAGCAGTGATGCGCCGTTTCCTGTTTATAATACCGTTGCAACACCGCAATATCTCAATTCGTACAAAAGAGGAAGCAGATAAAACCGATTGCACTCGTTATCGCCCAAGAAATACCGTGCATCGCGTAATTTAATTAATCCGTATTACGGAAGGACCCAGCAAGTGCAGTAATAGGCTACGCCACGACGGTAGACGAAGCAAAATTGAAACAGCTGCTGAAATAGACGTCGCCAGTTTAATTTGGCGAGACTGCCGACGTTCGCCGCTATGCCAGAATAATTACATTATTAATCTCAGAGTTGCCGACTCTCGGAAAATCGCTAAGACAGCCGTGAAAAAAAGATATCACGCAAAACCCGGAAGAGAGCATCTCGGTCGTAAAACGTAACAAGCGGAATTAAACTCGTACATTTTACGGTCACGAAATAATTACGAATATTTTTAGTTAGCTTTAGAGAGTATTAAGATTTTTGTTAATGTAATTGTTTAATAATTATTTAATAATTTACGATGCGAATTATAAACATACAAAAACATAATTATTTCTCTCTCTCTCTCTTATTTATTTCTCTCTTTCTTTCCTTTTTAAATTAACATTTTAAAATGTTATTTTTTGGTTAATTTATAATGTCATGAGAAAATTTTGAATAATATTAAAATAAAGTTAATGAAATAATGTTGACTGACGTTAAAAAATTTTTTCTATTATAAATCTTTCTGTAAATTGCATGAAAATATATAAAAAGAAAAATACTGAATCGCAGCTTGTTAAGATAACGAGTGTAAGTGAACCCAAATTATACGAGATAAAGCAATCGCGCGATATTCGCTATATAATATCAACAACATGCCGGATCTTGCCACGTGCGAAACCGTCGGTTGAAATAGAAAGCGCCATAAGCGCACATCAGTGAGTGGATATTTTTGTCGATGGTCTCTTGGGCGCAGATACCGTGCGAGTGCAGGAACTCGGATGATCCCGAGTTCGCGACGAAAGAATTTACGTGACTTATTTTCAGCTTTCAGAAAAGAGCCTTCGAATTTTTGGCTTCGTCACTATAAACTTTATTATTCGCGCATTAACTAAAATAATCACCAAGAATCGATGCTGCGTCAACGAATACAGAAATTTAGAGTGGTTTCTCGTTGTAAAAGCAGCGAGAAATAATATATGTATATCATTTCATCAAAATACAATCAAAAATTTAGTTAAATGTAGATATTAGCTAGAATATATGCAACACAAAGAGAGAGAAACGTCGCGCATTCATAGTTTTGATTATAAAGCTCTGATAACTTTATAATATTGATCGTGTTTGGTTGTTTATAAATGGCCACATATGGGATATGATAAAATCTTGCTGTTTATCATCACGCTCATGTAGGTATCACGAGAGCCTTTACATGTTTGTTTAACAGTAAAAGTCATGCAAAACGGCTCGTTACGAAAGCAACACTTTCTGCGAAATGAAAACACATAAACCATTGCAGCGTGCTTTTCGCGCTCGGAAGATCACCCTTGGTATCGTTGCATCGTACATCTCAACGACTCTCTCGACATATGCTAATCTGATGAACAGTTCAATTTGCATTTTACTTATATAAAATATGTATAATACATAAATAACCTTTTGTTAAAAAAATCAATATACAAAAAACTTCGCAAGCTTCCTCTAGAAAAATATTGTTAAAATATTTTGAAGTACAAAAAATATATAATTTATTTAAAAAAATATATATATATTGTTATAAATATACCATTTGATAATTAATTAAACCTATAATTTAGCAATTAATTATAATGTCAACGTGATAATGTTAACATAATGTATAAATATGTATGCACTATTAATGTTAATGTATTTATATTCATGTAGAAATGAATAAATGTAGTAGTGCGTTTTAATAATTTTACGAAATGTTAGTCGTAAATTACATTTTCAATCTGTTAGTATGTACTTTTAATTAGTTCACATGTTTACAAATGTCAGAAATGATAAAGTAGAATAAGACAATAGGATTTCTCATTAAACGAAAACAAGAGTTTGTTAATTTATCCCTTGGAGCTTTATACATGATAATTATGCATTGCTCTCGACATCTAATTGAAAGCGGAATTAGCGTTATTAGCATGGATCTCATTGCACACATTTTACATCTGATAAATTATAATATTTAATGTATGCAATCGCGCGTGCTTGATCTTTATTTATTTGATTTTTAATCGTTAATTCATGAAACACGGCTCAAGTTGCAATTAATTGTAGTATTTTGACCTTTGTCCAACTATTGAACTCCTAAACTCTGTGTGACACATATCATCAGCGTTACGAACGTATTATAATTGATTATATGAAAATTAAATGAGAAGAGAAATCGAGACATATACAATATACAGACACATTATATACATCATATTACTTAAATACTAAATAGTTTAAATATATTAATATGCAATTATCGAAATAATTAATTATTCAAATTACAACGATAGTGATTAAAATAAATTATCGTGACAATAATATAATTTACGACTAAGATAGCATAAACAATGGAAAACGTAATTAATATATCCATAAAAAAAACTATAATTATTTGATACAATCGCAATCTATTATTTTTGCTATTTAAATAATAATCACAAAATATTGCACTATTGAAGGCATTATTAACATTTAAACTCGAAATGATCAAGGGTCAAAAACAAAATAGCGATGCGGAATATGGAGAAAGGGTTGTGCTTTGAAAGCGGAACAGGAACAGGTTTGCCTAACGTAACGAGGAAACCACAGGGTGTGTGGGTCAGGGCATTGGTGAAATTATCATACAAAGTGGTCAAAGGTATCTCCGCATATTCTCCCCTTTTATCCCTTGGGATGGCCCTTGGGATAAACAGCTTGCAGGGAGGTCGAAAACGAACAGAAGGTGGTCGACCGAGAATCGTCGTAATCGTCGGGTTGCGTGTAGCTCGTTATTTCGAAACAGATCCGAATAATTTAGGTAGGTGGCCACATGGTCTCCTTAAATAATTACCTACCATCGCGCGAAATGAGATATATTATCTATCACTTAAACAAGAATTTCTGTGTGATCGCCTTTGTATAACTTCTTATTGAAACATAATAAATTATCTTTAAATCCTTGCTACTATATCATTAATTATGTTATGTTCATATATTAGTATATCATTAATTATGTTCATCTCGAACTTTCATCCCCAACATGCAGCCAAGCTTGTCTATCATTTATCATGTAGTTAACTATAAATACACTGCATGCAATGATTTTAAATATATATATATATAATAAAAAAATTAGTATTACTATTATTGTTATTAAAGTAATTTACGGAATAATTTTCTTATGTACGATTTGTTCAAATCGAAAAAAATATTCTGTATTTTAAAAATTCGTACTTATAAAAATATTGTTTACACAGAGTTTTATAGTATATAGTAAATTTCATATTTGCGTGTGATAAATACGACCGCGAATCTTTCGATCCGCGAACGATAGATGCGTACAATCGAGTGAAAGGAAGGGTGGAAAAAGAGGCCAGAAGCTACGACTTGCACGGAAATAGATGCGAGCGACCGGAAGCACGATTTCCCAACGAACGCACGACACAAAAATAGCGGAGGGAGTTGTCCTCTCTCGGCCGGCTATTATTTACATAACTGCGCGCGATACGCGAGCATCTTTTTTAAAGCTCCAGATCGACTTTACTTAAAAAAATGGTGTCTATTCCTTGCATAAGAAAACAAGAGGAACACGCGCAGCGTGATTCACTTAGAGCTCAACAAACTGTATTCACGTTTTTGTTCCGTGAAAGACAGGTGGATGCAGTGCTTAAAAACAACAGATTTATCCTTCTTAATCGTATGCTCTCGCATTTTTTGTGAGTTTTTTAAATGGAAGATATATATATATTTACTATACGTAATGTGTGTGTATCTTAAGAAAAGAAAAAGGGAGAACACTTCACTTCAGAAGAGCACAAATGATTAGATAAAATATAATAAATCTTAAAGCTCAATCTCATCTTGATATGTGAATTTCAAATGTTAATATATTTTATATATATATATACTCATCAAATAAAAAAGACAGAAAATATTTCATTAAGAATTTTCGTGAAGTACTTATAACATTAATATATCATACTTTATTTCTTGTATATGGCAAAATCTAAAAAATAACTATTACTTATACATATATTCTTTCTTCTCTTTAATTTTTTTATTGATTAATTTAATGCATGTAAAATTATGTGATATATATTAAAAAAGTTCGAAATTCTACGCGCGCTGCATGTACGAAGAGAATGTTCATTCACTAACGTAAAATTCAGGATAGGACGCTCAAGTTCAACCCTCTCGTTAGGTTCTAAAAAGCTCAATGAGGCCGATGAAACATGTAGCGACGTACTAATGAAGCTGTTCTTCGCGAACGGTACTCGTCGTTATGTTCGCAGGTATGATATTGTGCACAGGAAGAATGTATCCAGGCACGGACGTGCTTTACTAAACTTAGGCTAATTTTATATGGATAAATAACAGCTTAAAAATCTATAGAATATTATCTTGTTCTTTGCATCTATTTAAAACATGCGAATGCGTGCAACATAAATAAAAATCAAAAAGAAATATTTTCATCGGCTCTCAATATTAAGAATATAAATATGATGTTTTTTAAATCGGCCAACAGAGCCAAAGCACGAAAAATTAATTATTCAGAACTGTATCTCTTGGTTTGAGATCACTAAGTTCCATATATAAATTAATCTCGAAACTTACATATGGATTAGTGATCTCAAACCAAGAGATACAGTTTGAATAATTAATTTTTCGTGCTTTGGCTCTGTTGGCCGATTTAAAAAACATCATATTTATATTATAAATAAAAATGTTTTCGATCATTCTAAGCATTGTTATATATGCTAAAAATGTGTCACGACATAAGATGCGTTAAATTCTAATTGAAAAAAATACTCAATAAAATGATCGACAGATGTCTCGGTGTGTGTGTATTCACAATGAATGAGTTATCAATGAAATACCGAGCTGTGCATTAACAGCACACGGCCGGCTGGCTTGCGTTATATCGCTTCTATTTTCTGCATTGCTACTTCGTAACGAGATGTGACGAATCTAAGTTTAAATCGCGCACCCTACGGATGCGACTTAAAATCATGGACAATGATATACTAAATCGATGCTTGTCGGTGTAATTGTAACCTGGCAAAAGAAAACAATTGTACTTTCGCCAAGAATCCGGAGATATATAATAAACGACGGCATTTTTGGCACGCATTTAATTTTTTATTTTTAAGTTCGCTCAAACTATATAGAGTTACCTATATATACATGTATTTGTAATCTTGTGAAATTACATTATTTGATTTCAGCTTAAAGATGAAATTTATTTATTTAGAATATTTATATATATTCATTAAATATTTATATTATATTTTTTCGTGCTTTTTATTTCTTTTTATAATATAGTATTTCAAGATTATAACTATATGTATATTGTGCATGATTGTAAGATTAGAATGCGTTTAATGCGTCAGTTTGTACATTTTACGTCCGTATATCTTACGTTTCTCGATTGATATTAAAAGATAATTTTGTTATTGCGTTATTGCGACGTATAGCGACGAGATCATGCGATACAGCCGAATCCCTTGATGAACCGAGAGATAATCTTATCAGTATATAAATGCACGTGAGTTCGCGACGTACCACACGTTAATTTTAGGAAGCGCTATCGATAAGTCTCGTCCTTTCTCAGGTCGATCTTTTGTTGGTTTGATTAGGATATAAAACCGAGCAGTCAGTCAGTTCGTCAAGTCCGTTGTTCTATTTGTATTTGTATTGTATTTACACTGTGCTGTTGATATTAAATATCAAACGAAATACTATCATTTTCTATATTAAAAATTAATTTGTAAAAAGTCGGGTGCTAAGTTTACATAATAATCCCATCTTTGATTGTTGCTAACATTTAAACGAGAAATTTGCTGATTTATGTATTTTTCGCCAATTGTTTATGGGCGGCGACGCAAGAATTTATGATTCGTATACCATTGAAATGATTTATATCTCGATTTTTAATTAGGTCAGTATATGCGGTGATTATTGATCATATATTTTCGAACGGGACAGCCATGCAGTTATTTTCATATTACACCTAATACTTTCGTGTAAATTATTTGTTAGCTTAACCTTTTGACAGAATCAGTATATCAAGTATTAAAATTATTGATGAATAAAAGCTGCGGTTTATAAATAGTACTATACGTACTTGTGAAATTATTATGTAATTTTTATTTTCCTTCTTTTTCAGCACCAGTAAGATTAGTTTGGGCAACTGAAGGAGACAATGTGGAGCTGCCATGTGATATCACACCACCGACACCGGAGGATTCAGTTAATATGGTTCTCTGGTTCAAGGACAACGTCGGTATACCACTTTACAGGCAAGTAATCTTTCTCTTGAGCTTTAAAAATAATCCTACCGATCCAACTATTTTTGAGCATTGGCGTATCATAAAATCAGAACGACGATCTATCTGAACTTAATCCTGCAGAAAATGCTCGAGCAATTTCATATATAATTACGACTAAAAGAGTTAAAAATAGAAGGAAAAATTGAAATAGAGGTCTACAGAATTTCTATGTCTGCTTTTACAACAAATTTAAATGCAAATTAGAAGGCGTTTTTTTTAGAACGCAGTAGAAGCGAATTTTTTTCTCTCGTCAACACGCGCGATATATATCCTCGAGCTTAAAAAAGTTCTTCCTGCTGGCGACTTCCTGCTTTCTGGGAACCCGCGGAAACTGATTCACGTGACGGTGGCTTTTGGCCGAAAGTTAGGTCGCCGGATGTTGGCTAGGCTCGCGTTATTGGGAGATGAGATGCCATTGTTCTGAAGCCGCATCTCGAAATATCCCGGCACGAATATCTGAGCCCGAGCATGAACTTTCGCGTTTATGGACACCATCGACGCGCTCTGCTTGTGACATAAATATCAGGCTTATTAACAATAAATTTAACTTAGTGCGACCTATATTCTAAACTTTGTTTTAAAAAGAGAAAAAGTATAATATTTATAAGATAAGGATTAAATTGAATTTTATTTCATTAAAAAAAAACATAAAATTATTAAAATTAATCAAATTAAAATTCTTTTACACACATGTCGTTACGTATTAATATATAAAAAAATATACATACTATAATTATATGTCATAATATTACATAATTTTTAATATATTTATATTCAGGGGGAATCAAAAATAAAAATAAATATTAATTTATACAGATCAAAATGTGTATTCGACTTTTATAGTATTTTAGACACTATTATTATTACATGTTATATCAAATTTATCCGAAAATTGCGTGAATCGTTAGGTTTAAAAAAAAAAAAAAAAACCGTTTTGCGCATATACGAAAAATTCAAGTTAGGTTAGATCAGGATTGTATAAATAATTCAATTAAATTTTTACGATCGAAAGCGTGCGAGGATGGAATTTCATAACACTGGTCAAACTTTATAGGAATAGCCGTTGATCGAATATTTCGACTAACATAAGCATTAAACAGAGCACGTCGCTTATTTAAACGATTCCTAGGATCGTGAAATAAAATATTTCCTCCAATTTCTATTTGTTCGTTCGTTCATTAAAAATAAATAGCTATTGTATATCTAAAAATTGCTCATCTACTTGAAAGAATTTTTATTATGAAAATCTATTACTTTAGATAATTTTTATTTATTTATTTATTTATTTGTACTTTCAGATATAGAAAAATGTGTTAAAAATGGATACTGAAATTTTGATTTTCAAAAATAATCCATTACGAAATTACATTATCTATATGACAAATTGAGATATATAATTTTAGTATCACTTTTTCTTTAAAAATGTTGCATTCTGCACAAAGGAAGCTTTAATAAGAATTTCGAAATTCTCGAGAGAGAAGATATAAAATATAAACAGTTCAAAATGTAAAAAACAATATGTGGGACAAAGCAGGAAATCAACGAGCGGGAAATTAACGATTAAAAATGTGACAATTATATGGATCTGTATAGATATTCACAAAGAACAGAGTTGTGGGTAATGTCAAAGAACTTCATATAAAAAAATATAGCAAAAGGAATCCTAGATCATCAAAGGAAAGCGCGAACGAGTTGCGAGAGTGAAACATAAAACAGATTCTCGTCTGTTATTGAAGCATTTCTCACAGATCTTCCTGCAAACTCATGTTTCCGATAGTTATTGAGAGAAATAGTCGCAGGACAGAAAAAGGAAAATAAAAATATATTTCCCGAGTCAAAAAATCTCGCGCTACGATGTTCCGAATCTCGTGGCAATTTTACATTTACTAGTATTTATTAATACGATATATAAAATGAAAAAAACTTTATTTATATGATTGAAATTATACTTATTGTGTAAACGATAGAGTAACATTTTAAATCTTTTAAATAATTTTACAACTAACTCGAATCCATTGACACACAAGTTGATTTTTAGTCTTTCAATCTCGCGTCTTTGTGCGTTTTGTCTTGGAATTCTTTGTAGCGGGGAACTTTTTTCGCGCATTCGAAGAAACATCATATTTTCGCTCCAACGGATAGAAGATGATGCCTCTGTTCAATTTCACGGCACGTAACCCGAGTCACGCGGAGAATTTTCCGACCTCCGTTTTACTTTCGAGTCGACTTTGACGACGTAGTTGGCAACGATCGTCGTCAACCGCATATCAGCGTTGAATCAGACGACACGTGGTACACACAGCTCTTTGAGAATTTCTCTTCTTTCTGTTATCGTTTTTCCGAAACGATTTCCTGTTCCTGCCGTTACGTAATACTCCGCTCGCTGAAGCTACGGGTATCTAAATTCGCGGGCGACGAAGTCTATGCCAACTGCCTTTTTTCGGCTACAAATAGACGCGCGATGCACGCGGGTTTAGTCACCGGTGAGCCGCCAATTGGCGAAAGTGTCATGTTTACTGACTTTTGCTACCGGAAATGCTAAATATCGCGATGGAAGCTTACCGAGACTTCCTTTTGGCCGATCTATTAGCGCCTTGGCGTGAAAACCGACATTTTTCGCATAACAGCACTCATCGAACAAATTTATAATTTCTTCCCAGAAAATAATAAGAATAATTGAGTTGGAAAATAAAACTTAATATATATATTTAAGAAAATTGTCTAAAATGAATTACGCATAAAATAAATATACCAGCTGTGTATTTTGAAAAATAATTGAAAGTTAATTAGATTATTTAATATTACCTATTGTGTTATATGTATAGGTATACATATTATGATATTTTAATTTTGATACTTTATTTTCTCTGTAGCCTGGATGCGAGAAATGGTAGTTTAAGCGGCGCAATTCACTGGGCAGTTAGCGACGATCTCGGAAGACGAACGTACTTCCAGGTCGGCGATGGTCACCGAGCGAGATTGAAAGTCACCAAGGTGACGTTGAAAGATCAAGGGATTTTCAGGTGTAGAGTGGATTTCATGGACTCTCCGACACGAAATTTTCGCGTAAACTTGACTCTAGTTGGTAACTATCACGTATCAAAGAAGGTGACAAGAATGGAACATCATTATATTATACCGTCATATATTTGATTTTTTTCAGAGCAACCAAGTAAACCTGTGATATACGACGCCCAAGGACGCGAGGTGACAGGAATAGGCGGTCCTTTTTTGGAAGGTTACGGCCTTGCTCTGACCTGTCAAGTTTCTGGAGGTATATAAAATCTTACCCATTTAAATTTTATCATCAATGTGCACTCCCATCAACGTTCTTAGATATATGCATATCTGTGAATTGCTTTATTATTATATCTATAATATTGTCGCATATTATACTTTACAAGCATTAATTTATACAAATTTAAAGAATTGGAAGCTGATTTATAGCAAAAACCTGCATTTATAATTTATTTTACAGGTAGACCCAAGCCCTCAGTAACATGGTGGAAGGATGGTGAGCTGCTGGATGGACTGGTAGATACGGTGCCTATTGGCTCACCAAGTAGATTTACGGTAAACGATCTGTTCGTCGACAAGGTCACCAAGTCATTATGGGGAGCGAAGCTCGAATGCAGGGCTCAATCAGGACCAATGGGAAAACCTATCGTTCGCGAGGTGTCTCTCGACATATATCGTAAGTATATTGTGTTTTCGATCGTGCACTTAACGAAATTACGTTCGAAAAATAAAATTGATTTTAACTGATTTTGAAAAATAAAATGTAGTTCGCGAATTATACTCTAAAGCTGGTTTCAAGTCTCGGCAATGATTACGAGCTCGTAAATCTTTTGACGATCGCATCCCATCGAGCGTTTCTTCCGACGCTTTCTTGACTTATTCAACGTTTGAGCGATGAAATGCAAAAGGGCGGAATTTCGAAGAAGCGGATCATAAATGCTGCGTTAACGTGACATCTGCTTAAAATAAAATCGAAGAAACAGTCTTCAAGGCCGTTGCCTCGATTCTAAGCACGTGCTAAAAAACTATCTCAAGTGATGTGTGTTAAAAGGGCACTCTTGGCACGTTTTATTCAATCGACATGTCGCGCTTCCGTTTCTCTCCTTTTTCTTTCTCTCTCCTCTATTTATCCATCACCTTGTTCTTATATTTATTTTTAAGTCTAACTAAACAGGAAAACCATCGCGCTTTTCATCTATGAAAGGCATAAAGCAAACACTTGTTGCAATTTTTAAAAGGGTTGAGAAATTAAATATAAACTTACATTTCAAGTTATCGTCGAAAGAGCAATTATTTATTTTTAATTTAGAGAAATATGTAAACTATTTTTATACCTTTTTTTATCTCGTTCAACTATGAAACTAAAATTGGAAAAATATATTAATTAAATGTCTGAAGTAATTATTTGAGAAGCATATTTAAATTTTTGATTTATTTAACATTTCTTGTTTCTATACAGTCTTTTCTCAATTTTTTTTTTAAAGAACGGGGAAAGAAAAAAACTATTCATATTATATACGTTACATTTTAATTTAAATAATATATTATAATAATATATTAAGTATGTCAATAATATATTTTAATAATATAATAATTTCTCTCATATTATCTAGTTTTTTTCTAATTCTTTCTAATTTTAGAAAGATTTAGAATTCTTTCTATTGTATTCAATGTTGGAAAGAAATTTTAATTTAGTAGTAACTGACACGCGGCGGAAGCGAGATGAATTTCAACGATTTCACACGGGCCTTCTTAACTCCTTTGACGGTCACATTTCGCAGAATTGTCGTCTAAAAGTAAAAATACGCGGGAGTTTGGGATGACGGGCATCTGGCCTTCTTTCGGCCCTCGTTATTTTTGTGCCGCAGCACCGACAACGAAGTTCTCGGTCCGCTTATAATTTTTTACATCCAGCAGCCCTCATCATCATCCTTCGCGCATCTATATCCGCAGATGTAAATTTTTGACAACAAAGTACCTGTCTTGACTTCTACACATTTTTTGTCTTCATATTATGTTTTAGATTAGAAAACTAAAAATTAATGGTAATGAAAAAGATTATAGTAGGAAATATAAAGTTTTTATTGTAGATACTTTGTCGAAAGATTTATTCATTTACTCGTTTATATGACTTCATTATTTTATTATTAATCCTGTTGTTTCCTACATTTTAGTGAAACCGGCGATCGTGAAAATCGTTCTGAGCGAGAATCAGATTTTCGCCGGCCGTCCAATCGCAGCAAAATGCGAAACTTGGGGAAGTTCTCCAGCAGCCAGGATTATTTGGAGGCTGGGAGAACATGTGATGGGAGATCCTAATGTATCTACCACACAGAGAACTAATTCGACGGTAAGCAAGTTAGCTTTGGTGCTCAGTAAAGATGACGATGGCAAGGAATTAATTTGCCGAGCCGAAAATCCGAGGTTTCCCGGAGGAGTGCTCGAGGAAGTCAAAACACTTCGCATCTCTTGTAAGTTCGCAATTTTGCAATGTTTGCAATCCTTTTAAGTCACTCGAATAACATGTCAAATTTAAGATAAACTGTGTTTGTGTATATATATATATATATATATATATATATATATATACATATATCCAAAAGTATAATTTTTTTTATTGGTTCAAGAATTTTCAAATTATTGTTTTAAATTTAAATTTATAACAAAAGTTTTAAAAATTCTTTAACAATTTTCTAGTTTCTTCTTTTTTGCTCTAAGTCTCTCCTGAAACAGTTGCGAAATGCATAGATATATGTATTTCATAACTGTTGTTGTTTCAGGTCAAGAACTTAAAGATAAAAGAATAAAAAAACTGAAGAAATAAGAAATCAAAAATTGTTTAATATTTTTAAAACACTTTTGTCATTTTAAATTAAAAAAATAATTTGTTGAAATCAACTTATGAGCAAAAATACACAAGAATACGATAAATATATATAAGTTAAGTATATTATAATGATACGCAATTTCGGTAATTACAAACAGATGCTCCAGTAGTTGTCGCCCGTTTGGCAACTGGCTACGTTTTAGACACTTTGAGGGAGGGCGACGATCTCAAATTGCTCTGTGATGTTCAAAGTAATCCGCCACCGACGCGAGTGGTTTGGTATCACGATGTAAGTAAAAAAAAGGAGTCTCGTTATTCGGCATAATTCATTACAATCACTACTATTCGAATTCTTGTAATTTTACGCACAGAATCAACGGTTGGAGCACGATGTAAACGCGGGTATTTTATTGGCTTCAAACTCATTGACTCTTCGGGTACTCATACTTGCACACGTCGGCGAGTATTCCTGCGCGGCCGCGAACGCTGTGGGAGAAACTCATAGTGCGCCGCTTTTTATTCATATGAAATGTAAGTACTCGTTTTTATATATCAGCTACGTGAACTTATCATTTCACCGATTTTTCAAAAAATAATTTTAATTTAACGGAAAATAATAGCATTTCGTTTGTAGCTGTTTGCAGTAACAATAATTTAATTTGTAGTTTTATCAGTTAAAAAATAAAAAAATTAAAATAATGATTCGTACCCGATTTTTTGACAATGGTTTGTAATTGTTTATAGTGTGTTTGCTTTCGTTTGTAGTTGCACGGTTTAGAAATGACAATTGTTTAAACAATATCTAATGGTCAAAAGTGAACTTTGAATTTTTTTTTTGTCAATTTTAAATATTATTAAAATCCGCTCAATTTTTAAATTTATTTCTTTTAATTAATAAATCGAATAAACAAAACTATTGTTACTATATATAAATATAACTACAAACGATTCCAGAAAAGACTGTGCAAGCAGATTTGAATGAAATATCTTAAAATCGGGTGCTGGTCATCTTTTTAATTTTCGCTTTAAGATCGATATCGATCTATCTCCGATTAAAAACTTACTCAAACTTAGAAATGTCGAGCATTTAGAGTTGTACATATGAATCTGACACTTGACTTTAAAAAATTAATTTTGTAATACGGAAAATAATAGTATTTCGTTTGCGTATAGTCAATGTAAAAATAAAACAATAAAAAAAGTTTCTGAAAAGTCGACTGCTAAGTTTACATTACTTTATTTATCAACACGTTTAAGAATCATTCCTCTCAGAATAAATTATTTATGCGTTTTGATTTGAGTAATAACGCGTTTATAATAAATTATAAACCTAATTTGTAATATAAATTAAATTTTAAATACGTATTAATAAATTGTCGAGATTTTTAATATTTTTCTTTGAAATTTGAGTAATAAAAGATGCTTTTTACTTAAAATATTAATAAAAAAACTTTTATGATATATAGTGAAATATACTAAAATAAGTTTATTACAAATAAAAAATAATTAGCAATTACTGATAGTTCTCTAAAAAAAAAAAAGAAAGACACGAATTTTATACTGTTTTGTAAGCTTTTCTTATTTTTTAAAACTAAATTTCAAATATTCGATAGATGCACCGAGATGCAGAGAAGGTAACGAGAGAAGAGAGATCACTGTCGCTCGGCATGAGACAATATCGCTCACGTGCGAAGTGGAAGCACTGCCTGACGATCACGTGCGATTTTCATGGACCTACAACGGTACTATCGGCGATGTTTTACCTATACCAAACTCAAGGGTCGAGAATAAAGGCCTCACGAGTGTGTTAGAATATACACTAGGCGCCGATACCGATTACGGTACGCTGGCTTGCTGGGCGAGCAACAACATTGGACGTCAAAGAGCACCCTGTATATTCAACATCGTACCTGCTAGTAAGTTTATCCAGCAACTGTTCCCTTAATTTATGTTTTTTTTACGTTATAACTGAAAGTCCCAATTTTTATAATATAAAAAAATTTTGTATTAATAATTAAAACATAAATTATTTATATGTATAATTACTTTTAAATGTTAAATTTGTATTTAAAATGCATTTAAACTTAATCGTCGATTTTATCGTTATCAGAACCACCGCAATCACCGCTGGACTGTGCGCTATACAACGAAACCAGCTCGCTCGAGGTTAATTGCATCCCGGGATCGGACGGCGGGTCGCCGCAGCATTTTTTATTAGAAGTTCGAGGATCTCTCAGAAATTCTGGCATTGGCCAAATTGGTCCACATACTCTCCAAACGCCTCAGAGCGATCAAGGGATGGTCGGGGAAGCGCCGCCTATTTATCAAGACATGAATCTGACCCCTAACTTTCAACTTCACGACCTTGAACCGGGATTCGATTATACGGTGTACATTTACGCGATCAACGGACGTGGTAAAAGTGAACCTGCTCTTCTGGAAAACATTAGGGTTGCGGAATCTATCGGTGGAAAAATGGAAAGAAGTGGAATTTTTTTGGAGGATCTAAAAAAGGCGCTGCCACAAGCCAGTTCCGAGAACATGATTATTGCTATTGCACTGACAGGTATAGGTAAAATCAAGTTTTTGATTTTTTAATTTATTTTAATATACTAATTTTAATACTAATTTCGAGTAATCATTTTGCAAATCTATAGTTCGGTGCGAATAAATTTGAATTCTTCGTAAATTATTTACACATTTACTTTCAATTTATTATTATTATTATTAATCTTTTTTCTATGCATCAATGTACTATTAAAAATATTTTTAAAACCTAAAATTTCAGGATACTTGTCGAGTTTTAAATTTAGATTTTCATTTAGATTCTACTCTTGTAATATAATTTAAATTATTTAAAATTTATTCCCTATAATAATTCAACTTTGAAGGCGGGGCAGCGTTGGTCCTCATCGGCATCGGAATGATCATCGGCCTAGTGATCTGCCGGAAAAGATCAAACGCTACTATCATCGAAGGTCCAGACGATTTTACCACGCCGACTTATGTTCCGGCCCACAGAATCGAACCCAAAATCAGGTACTCTAACGAGAATAGGCGTTCTCAAAGGACGAGTCTCTACATCGAAGAAAATCGAAAGGGTACTATAAACGATGATTTATTTGATAATAAACTGCTAATGTGAAAGAGGAAGAGAATAATTGTTTAATTATTTTTTTTTTTCAGAACCAGATTTACTTAACCGAGTGGAGCTTGACTTGCGAGGTTAATTCACCTGATTTTGTATAGTTAGAAATAATCGAGACATGAAGTGCAATGTAAAGTAGTGTTCCATATATATATAGAATTCAACTGCATCGCATAAATCGGTATATTCTATTCATGTAATTCATAATGTTATTAAACTAGAAACAACACACGATTATTGGCTATAAATGAGTAACTATTAGCTATATATCCAAAATTGTTTGACTCGAAGAATTAACGCTCGAAAAACGTTTTTACGATCGAAATTAAAAAGTTGCCGATCTTCATGCGAGTGGGAGGATATTACGAAACATTCTATTAGTTATTTATATTCATTTTCTGCGAAAAGTTTGGTCGTGCAATACAAGGAGGTTGACGGCCGAAATTTGTACTTTAAATTGTATAGAATCTAGAGTTAAAATAGTGTTACGTAAATGTACAGTTATTTTTACAACGTAAAATGCCCTAAGGCATCGCGAAGATTCTGCTTACTTCTATAAGTATTAGTATGATATGTCGACCTAAAAAAAACGTGATCTTGTGTACCTTTCTCCTTATCGCACAACAGACTGCTTCAAAAAATAAACACTGATTTAAATTTAAATAGTTTTTATAAATTTTAATTCCGCATACAAATTTTGACTTTATATATTTAACAAACAATAAGCAAGTTTGTAATGCTTACATTATACATTTCTAATATTATACTATACAATTAACCTTCTGATATATTTTTTTGAAGCAGTCCATAGTTAATAAATTATTGTATAATCTTTGATCAGCGTAGTTCACGCTATTCCATACAACTGTTGTAAATACTTATGTATTGATTAATGCACACAATTTTAAAGAAAATAAAATTGCCAGATTGTATTATTAATTATTAATTAATTGATAAATAAGATTAAGGAAATTATATAAAAAAATTGTTTTCTTTAATCTCCATTCCTATTTTAATTGCGAGTCTAATATATAAACATTGATATTTAATTGATATTGATATTTAAATTATTTCATAACAATAAATAAAGATAATCACTTTTATAAATATCTATCTACGTATTTCAACCTGTATGTAACGAAATATCAAAACTACTGACACGCAAATCGTTAATTGCTAGCATTTCACTAATTATTGATGATAATAATACTGCTCGGAGCAGTTACTGATTTAATTATCTATTTTACAAACATGTTATGACGAGTCATATATTCGTTAAATATGTAAGTAGGACCGACATTGCGCAATTTGATTTAAATGAACCACGCAGGATCGACTATGTTTGAATTTCTGGCCTTCCGCAATAGAAATAGAATTTTTTCAACATTGAGAATTTCTTAAATCCATTATGAAGAATGGATATACGCAGAAAAATATTTAAAAGATTAAATGATTTCTTTCCCTCTCTATATCTTTTGAAAGCCAAAACGTAATCTACGTTATCAGCTATCAATATAACAATTGATGTGTCTCACATAGTCGTACGTTTGAAAGCGCCACATGTACGAAGAGAATCGAATTTATCTATTTATTTTTTATCTGTTAAAAACTTAATGAGAGAAATTTATTGCTTTGATAATCATTAATTGTAGATATTGAAAATTAGATGATCTCATTCCTATCTCGTTAATTTTTTTTCTTGATTTTTTTTTAAATATCTATCTATAATAGCGTTTATAAATTTTGTAATATCTTTCGTGCTTATTTTATATTGTAATGTAATAAAGTCAATTCAGGGGATATGACTTTATGTATCAAGGTCGTATAGGCATACATATTGGAACGAATATCAACTATGCATATCGTTTTATATTCGTGAGAACGAACACTTTTCCGTGAACAATCCATTAATGAAAACTTCATCAACGTCGGAATAATTATCTCGCTGCACATGACAGCTGTCCCATTTCCGTAAATTGCGTAGCAGTAGGTTGTGATTTAGAGCCATGAATTAAATATGGTGCGACACATAGAGAATCATATTATAATCCGCGAGTGAGATATAATTTTTCATCAAAACGCATCATTATCAAAATCCTTCCGTTCGAGCGTCAATCATGTAAGTTATATATCAGTTAATTGAATTATCAGAGCTCCCTTGCGATATCATTAAAATAATTATATACGTTCAATATACAATGTATTACCGATCCATAAATGTAATATAAGACTCGCGTTAATGTCACAATATCAGGATATTAAAAATGTATAATAAATAAAAAATAAGATATTACAATATTATTTGAAAAATTTGGCAATGTTATTTCCACGAAACAAGTAAAAAACGTGCATATAATAAGCATAAAAACTGTTAACGAGAATTAAACAAAAAAGTATTTCTAATATGAACAATAGAAAATATTGTCTGTAGTTACGAGATAATTAAAACTAATTAAAAATATTTAAACGTAAGTACACAGACATATTATTGGTGTTATTCCGAAAATCGCTGCGTTATCATCGCGTTTATATGATACACTTAGTGCAATCGACGATACGGGGAAACGAGTTGCGCGGTCATAATGAAGATGCAACCGACGTGCACCATACACTAGATGCAATTGCGCATTACGCAGCGCAAAGCGCGTTGGGAAGCGCCAGGTCCGGGCAGATAATTACGTTATACTTTGTACTGTGTGCACGCCCGGAACCGACATTATCGTTATCGTCATGGGAGATGACGGCTGTGTACGTCGCGAATAATCCCTGTTATTTTCAGCAGCGCCGGGGCAATTCGTCCGACATTATAGCAAGTACTTGTAAAATTGAAATCCCTGCAAGTTATCGTCGTTACTGCTATCGTTAGAGGCACTTGGCGCTGCAGTATAATGAAAAGCCCAGATACGATTACGCGTGCAAAAAAAAAAAAAAAAAAAAAGATACTCTCGACTCTAGTATTAAAAAAAAAAAAAAAAAAAAAAAAAAACAGAAATAATCTACTTTCAACTAATTTAGCACGCGGATGAAACAAATATTAAAATAAATTAAAATGACAATGTATACAAGGGCAAATTTTCATTATGTATAATATGGATAAAAGTAAGATTTTGTATTTTATGATCGAAATGTGTATAGCGCGCGAATAATATTATAAAAATTTGTATATTAAATCTAAAAGATTATTCATTATTTTTATTATAAATACATGTTGATTTTCGCATTTATTAAAAAAGATTAAATCACATATATAATATATTATGTATTTGATCTCTAAATTATATAGAAGCAAGCAGTACACTGTTTCTATGAATATTGTATATATAAATCTTGGTTAACTTTTCAAATGATATATTCATAGAAACCATATAATCACACTTCGGTTAACAGAAATCTAAATTTTTGCTTGATGAACGAATTCATTTGGCGGACGAGAGTAAGGCGAAAGGGAGACGCTTAAATAAAGTAAAAGTTTACGTAGCAATTTTATTTGAATAACCTACCGAATATAGGGAGCTCGGATAAATCCGGCTTTGCGCGTCGGATGGATGGAATCGCACGCGGGTAACACGAATCGTCGGAAAATTCGACGGTAGGGAAAATAGTAGATTCTTGCTCCAGCGCTACCCGACCCACCACCTTCTTTCTCACGGCCCGCGAGGAGATTGAACAAGACTGCTGAATCCCGCCGAATATCTAGACCGGAGCGCCGCGGGGATTCGCAAATTCACCGTGAAATCTTCCGCAAACGGAAGTAAGGTAACTCATTTCCGTTTTATCGAGACTTTCTGTGGCATTAAAAGAGCTCGGCTGGGAGAGAGAAGGATCAAGCTGGAAAAAGCGGTTCGAGATGGAGCGAAGAGAACGGCGGATTAATTAACGTAACGTAATTACTGCGCACATTGTGCACGTTGCGACGCTTCAAAACCGCGGATGAAAGGGTCAAAAAAACTTTAAGCCTTTTCATCTTCTGGATCTTAATGTACGAGAGAATATATTCTTCCTTGTTCCTCTCATTTATTGGAAATGCAAATATCTTTGAGCATAATTTTGGTTATTAACATATTCTTCCAGTTCCCTCATTTATAAGTGCAATAATATATGAGCAATTTTGTCCAATATATTTAATTATTAGAGTCCTGCAGTTATTTTGTCAAGCTATAAGTGGGATTTATTCAATAATATATAAAAATATTTTTGATAGTATTTGTTAGTTATAAAGAAATAATTCATAAGAAATATATATCTAGATTTTCCCCTACAAACAAAAAAGTTCTTGGACTGAAAGGGTTGAAAGAACATAGGCCGATTAATGCTTTTTCTTCTAGATGATAAACCGTCGCTCAAACTACTGATCGTTTGCGAATTATTTCTTAGTGGGTAATATCTTGATCGATGGATTATATTTAGATTAAATGATCGATAGTCGATGTAAGAAAAGAAAATGCTTTTATGGTCGTATATAGAAAGTGTGTTGCTCGATATTAATCCCTTCATATTCCTTTTAGATATTTCAAGGCAAGAACATTATTCAACCGAAGTATGTTGTTAAGTATGAAAAATATATTAAAAAATATAGCAACGTATATAAAGTAATGTTAGCAATGTCGAAATTAATTTTGAAATTTTATCGATAATTAATAATTTATATAATATATAAGTATCAAAGTTTAATTAATCACGCTCTTTTTCACGAATAAAAAAAAAATGTTATTAATTCATAAATGTTTTATTCGAATAAAATGCATAAATTTCGTTCAACGTTATTTCCTAATTATTACGAATGTGAAACGTCATATTTTTTAATATATAAATTAAAATACATTTCGGTTCTATCCTTTGATAATCAAAGAATTTTCTCGGCCGTGTAAGTTTTAATAACCGCACTGTTGAGCTTGCAGAGTCATGAAAGTCGTCATGAAAATAGGTTGCGCAAGATGAAACGGTGCGGAAGATCGTTTACAGGAGTCGATGGCTGGTTTTGTATACACATGCAGCGATCCTTGTATCTGGTAACCGAATCGAGGAGTGCGAGCGTGAGAGCCGAAGTGCTCGAATTAAGCCGCCATTCCGGGTCGACCGATTTGTCGAACGACACAGCCGAGGCTGTGAGAACCTCAAGCTCTTTCCCTCTCTCTTGGGTTTGCAGTTCCCGATGAGCTTTATCGAGTGGACCTTTCTCACTTTTCAAGCCCGGGCGGATTTCCGTTCAAATGCACCGAAGAAAAGAAGATTTACAGAGGCGATCCGGAACCGGCTCGGCAGCGGTCACGACAACGGTCGGGCTCGGCAGTCTCTTCTTTCAGGGATTACGAAGTTGACTTTCGCCGCTCAGTGGCGATGGTTGTATATAAAACCCACTTCGTGTTGGAAGAAGGGATTATTGATTGAAATAGGTCACCTCCGCCGGTGGCCTCCGCCTCCTCGATTCCGTCTTTCCATTTGTACTCACGGTAAGATCTCGTCGTAGTCATTTGACCTCTTTTTCAAGAATCCGATGTGACTTGAGCTTTCGCATTGATAAAATTTCTACTATATTGAAAATAAACATCTAACGTGTATAATAATAATAATAATGCGAAAAGCAATTGGCGCGGATCGTAATTAATACTAATCGTCATTGCTGTTGTAATTTTTTATGTCGAATATAGCCATTTTTTTTTTGATAATTTACGTATTATGTTTTAAAGAGCTTTTTGGCGTGTGAAGTAAAAGTGAAACATTACGCGAATTTATAATCTCAGCTGATTTGAAGTTTATAGTGTGACAACATTAGACTACATTTTCCAAATAAACGACTCGCATATTTTCTTTTTTGGAAATCTTCATATGCCTTTTTCTCTCCGGTGGCAACAGAAACGGGAAGATCTACGAGGTGCAATCTTATCTAGCTCCAATAAATTTAATTCGCCGACAGGCGGATTAAACCGTAGTAAAT